GATGTGTTGTGAGGTTGTTAACCATTGTCATAGGGCAACATGTGTACTAACTGTTAAATGAGAAACTATTTTGTTCTGTAAGCCTTCATCTAAAGTGAGGATAGCAGCACAATTGGAAGAGCGTAGTTGATGTCACTGAACTGTGCATGTAGAAATTTTTGAAATGGTGTATCTTTGGCACTGTATATTTTCATCAAAAATAAAAAGGTCAAGAGGGGAGAGGGTTGACATGTTGTTGGGTTGTTAACCAATGTCATAAAACAGTATGTGTACTACTGTTTTATGAGAAACTGTTTTGTAAGCTTCACCTGAAGTACAATAAAAAAAAAAATCTTCAGTTAACGGTAGCTTGTCACCATCCAGTTCTTCTGGTTTCATGGCAAAGGAGGGAGTTGTTCATGGAGGCAATTAGCCCACATTCCAATTCCTCCTATTCCTGAGTCATCTTCTTCCTCTGTTGCTGCAGGTGAATAAAGACCAATTGTTGTACCTTGGATGGCTACTTTCGGCAACTGGATTTTAATAACATAAAGCTTCCTTCTAAAAATCTATTTTAATTAAAAGTGTGGCTTAATTTGAAGAAAAATTATAATAAATGTAGTATAAGAATATGTCAAAAACTGTGTTTTGACTGAAGTTTGGTAAACACAGACAGCTTAACCTGCTTTATTTTGTAGGGATGGATGGAAAACAAGCTCCAATTAAGGAAGGGATTTATCTATGGAGCATGAGTTCAGGTTCAAGTTCTTTGGTTGCAAACAACAGAAATCAACTCTGATAATTTATTCAAAAGAAGAAGTTATCAGGGGATTGCAGAACCGAGGACCACACTGACCAATCAGGCCTTGGGATGGGTAGCTTCAGCAGCCGGAGTTGGTGGCAGTCTCTTTAGGTCCCATTTTTTGATTGAGAGAAGTTTCTTCATAGCATATTCAAAATATGTTAACATAGTAAAAAAAAAAAAAAGTAGCATGACCACTTGTTTGGATGGTATTATAGTAGAAAGAGTCCATCTTAGATTATCTGTGATGATCGAGGAGTTATAATCAGCCCATTTTCTCTTAAACTTCATTTCCTTACAGCCTCTTCCATGACACACATCTGAGGACAATTTTGATATTGACCTGGCTTATGCCTCAAGTCCTGTTTGTCCAATTTTAAAGTTTCTATTTATGCCAGTTATCAGTGTTACGAACCCTGGTGGCACAGTGGTTAAGCGCTGGGCTGCAAACTGAAAAGTTGGCAGTTTGAACCCACCCAGCAGCTCCATGGGAGAAAAGACCTGGCAATCTGCTCCCATAAAGATTACAGCCTAGGAAACCCTATGAGGCAGTTCTACTCTGTCACTTTGGGTCCCTATGAGTTGGAATCAACTCAACGGCACACAACATCACTGTGTTAAGGGTTCCTATCCATATTAGCAATTCATCTCAATGATGGAAAAAAATCACCTTTACATTGCCACACCTCTTCATTTTTCTTATTTCCTTCTGCTTTTTCACAATCATCTATGGTATTCAAAATAAGGACCATACCCTTTTGCCAGGGCCCAGCACAGTATAAGACAGAGAGTAGGGTGAGAAAAAGGAGAATGATAACAACAAACAAAATAAAAAAAGAGGAAATTCTGGTAAAAAGCATGTTTGTGGAAGAGGGATGCCTAGGACTGTTTTACTACTTAAAGACGAATGTTTATCCATGTAGAGATGAGTTACCTTAATAAATGATACTATTTTCCAAGAAAGGCATGTCATGATTGACAAGTTCAGACAAAATTTGCCTGCTAAATTCCTACCCAGTTAATCCTTACCATCTACTCTACTCACATAAAGTCTTCCTGGAACAGTGTGGTTGGTATAGGGTGTGTTAGAAGGTGTATGTGTTAGGGCAAGGAAAATCTGGAAGAAAAGTAACTGAGTGCAAGGAAGATAACTAGCAATATCAAATAATTTGATCAGTAAAGTGAGGTGAGAATTCTAGATTTTGATCTATAATTACATATATTAAAATGACTAGGGAATTTGCTAAATTGCCTAATATTTGTTAGGTTCTCTAATATTTGCCCCCTCCCATAGACAGCAATAAACCATGAAACAAAATGTGAGTTATTTATAATAGTAGGCACAATTTATTTTACAATCAATACAAGAAACCTCGAGACACAGCACTATCTTCAGATAACACACACTCGTGCTCTGTTTAAATACTACATACATTAAAAACTAATGCCAGGACTTTCCATAAACGATAGTTGTAAATCACAGTTTCTGGACATGAAAAGCTTACAGGAAGATAACAGTCAGCCTTCCAGGTGGGAGTATGGCACATAGATTAGTCTGACAATGATTGTATGTTCATCAATTATTTAATCAAAAATGCGACAAATCATCTTTTTAGCAATTATTTAATTAAAAATACGACGAACCATCTCTTTTAATCCACGTGCTAAGATAATCTAGCTATGCCTTAGTTCCTTCTGAAGGATTTGACATTTCTGAAGTTACAAATGCTATGGATAAAAAGTCACTGCAGGAACTACCTAAAGTTTAGACTGTGCAGGATAATTTCTATAAAAATACTACCATCGGCCGAACTACGGCAAAGATCTTTTAACATAAAGTTTTTCTTTAGTATATTGCACCTTAATAAGTAGAAGTTCACTACTGCAAATGCTATTTGTATGCATTTTATTCACATATAAGTAACAATTCTTTTCACTACCCTTCTCTGTGGCTATAAGATTTTTCTTTCCTGAAAATCACCTCTCTCTCACACCTGTTCTACTTGCTCCTTGGCTCCCTGGAGCCTATGTTTCTTCTTTAAGGGAGTTTATTTTCCATTGAGAACAACTGCTGAAAAGCAGGCCTCAAAAAGGGAGTGGAAATGTTTATCCTATATTTTGAAAACTTTCTTTTTCCATAGGAATATTTGTCCAATTACAGACCAGAAATCGATAGGAAATTAGTGTGAAGTAGACAGAGCTTTGCTTGGAAGCATCTATTCTAGGAAATGTGGGACCCTGCCATAGTGGCATGCAGGTGTCATGAGGCAATGAGGACATGGTCATGTGAGTTTTCCAGCCACCTGCTGGGGTGAGGAGCATCGGGCTGTCACTTGCTGTCTTTTACTCCTCAGACGCCTGTGGACCTGCAGGACCATCTTGTACACCTTCCAACCCAGCATCACTCTTGTGAGACTCTTCGTCCCCTTCCACAGGATCTTTAGGACTGGAATCCTCTTGATCAGCATCCTCTTGGGAGGGATCCGTTTCAGCTTCTGGCTGCTCTTCATTAATGCAATTAGAATTGACATCGAGTTTGCCATCTGATAAAAGGCAAAAAAAAAAAGGTATTTTGCTCCTAACATGTGCCAGACACTCTTTAAGAGCTTTACACACATTAGTTCATGTAATCCTCATTATATCTGCAGGAGGTAAACACATTATTATTTCCATTTTACAAATGGGAAAACTGAGAAGAGAAGTTTAAACCACTTGCTCAAGGTTGTACAGCTTGTAAACAGAAGAGTCAGTTTTTGAACTCAGGCCTCTGGCTCCAAAGCCAGACCCTCTTAATCACGATAGATGTTTAAGATCTGACAAAATCTGTATTCGAAAACAGCATTGCCATTAATTAGCTTGATGTTTGGAGGCAGGTAACTGCCTCTGTGAGGTTGTTCCCTTATCTATAAAGTGTGGATAATAAAGCCTATCCTACATTTGTTAAGAATAAAGGTGATTAGAACACCTTGAATGTGTGACATGTGGCTGATGCTTAATAATTGGAAGGTCTCATTCCGACAGTTCTATTCTCTCAAGATGGCCTACTTAGTGTATGAACAGCATTATTCTCAGCCTACAACACACAAGGTAAAAAGTCTGATCCAGGAAACAGAATGCACGGCAGTCAGACAGCCTTATTCTCTTAATAATATTAAATGGTTTAATTTTGTACAGATCATTCAGTCCCACTAATACAATGTTTCTCAATCAAGTGGTAAAGGGAGCATAGTTCCTTGAGGGATGGAGGTGGAAATGCCTAGCATCAGAATCACCTGAGCAACTTTTTCAAATTACACGTATTCCCCAAGAACATGTGATATGTTCTCTGGGGTGGTGGTGGGGGGTGGGGAGGGCTCCTCCTCCTTCTCCTCAATATCAGTTGCTGGTGATGCAATTCACTGTCTCTGATGAAAATGAAGGATGGAGAGGAAAATAACAGGGAACTCGCTCTCTGATACTTGTAGAAATTTAATATGCACATTAGATGTGCAACGCAATCTGTAATTTATAAATTTATTCTATATCCTTGCAGGCTAGATCGGCTGTTGTGCACGGTCAGGCAAGCCTTGGTATTCAGGATGCATTTTCCAAATTGGGAGAGGCTGAGCGGCAAAGAGTTTACTCAAGCCTCCAGAAACAGTGAAAAGCGGTGCTCAATTGGCAAAAGATAAGTACATGCACCTAACCTACCATGTGGATCATAAAACACCCCATTTGGGAAGAAACTCTCTCCCATTTACCTGCTCCCTCCCTGCTCTGAATCCATCCTGGGTGGCTTCAGCAACTGCTGAGGCCGCTGGGGCAGGAGAAGGACTAGTCAGGTGCCATGAGCCATTCTCCCGCCCATGGAAAAGGAACAAATTAACAAACAGGAAAAAATAATCTGCCAGTTCCCCTAAACCGGAGAACTCAGGGCAGGCACAGCAGCCTTGACACATGCATAAAGGGGTTCTCGGACTTTGAATGCCTTTCACCCCTGCACAGACCTGTGTGGGCCCATTTCAACATGCCTTCATTAACACAGTACAACACGGTACATACCTGAAGCTTAACTTCAAATGTATCAGCTATATGGTGGAGTAGCAGGTTTGTGACATTTGACGCCACTCTGCCCATTAAGGAGGGTCCTCACCTGCCTACATCAGGGGCCTGAGCACTGGTGTCTCCACCCACACCAACTAGCCATCTATAACAGGGGTACAAGAATAACTGATGCCTCCCAGTCCTTACAGCCAACAGCACTGGCTGCCCAGAGTCCAGGTGCAAAACCCACCCACCTACGCAGTCTATGGAACAGAGACAGGCTTTCCTCCCAGACACTCAGGGGTAACCATCAGCCCCGTCTTGCTCAGTGCACGACCCCCTACTGCAGCCAGATACCTGTGCCTACTCCAATCACATCTGCCCATCTAGGACTGTAGGTGAGAGCCTGCACCACACATTTGGTGACCGACTACCTGGACACCTGAGCTGAATCCAGACAAGGAAAGTAAATGGACTCCTGGGCTCACTTACCTAGTAACAGATATAACCACCTGGTGACAGGACGTTAGAGCTTCAAAGGCACCAATAATCAAACTAGCTCACACAAGCAGCCTATTTGGGCATATCAAAATAAAACAAAACAAGAACCTAGGAAATAGTAAGTGAACATAAAATAAATAAATGTAATAACTTATTGATGGTTTGTAGACAACAGTCAATATCAAATCACAGAAAGAGGCAGACCATGATGGCTTCAGCAAGCTTCAGAAAGAAAGAATCAAGAAATTTTCCAGAGGAAAAGAATTTCTTGGAATTACTGGAGGTAGAAAACAAAAGATTAATATACAGAATTCTTCAAGAGATCAGGAAGGAGATCAGGCAAAACGGAAAACAAGCCAAGGAACACACAGACAAAGCAATAGAGGAATTTAAGATTATAGGAGAGCAAAATGACAAATTTAATGGGCTGCAAGAACCCGCAGAGAGACAGCAAAGAAATGCAAATGAATAATGACAAAATTTCAGAATTAGACAACTCAATAGAGAGTCACAGGAGCAGAACTGAGGCAACAGAAGTCAAAGATAAAGCACTTGACACCAATTTATTTGAGGAAAAATCACATAAAAGAATTTTAAAAAATGAAGAAACCCTAAGAATTTTGTGGACTCTATCAAGAGGAATAACCTATGAGTGATTAGAGTACCAGAACAGAGGTGGATAACAGAAAATACAGAGGGAATTATAGAATATTTATTGGCAGAAAACTTCCCTGATATCATGAAAGATGAGAAGATATCTATCCAAGATACTTATCAAATCCCATATAAGGTAGATCCCAAAAGAAAGTAACCAAGACATATTATAATCAAACTTGCCAAAACCAAAGATAAAGAGAGAATTTTCAGAGTGGCTAGGGATAAACAAAAGGTCATCTACAAAGGAGAGTCAATAAGACTAAGCTCGTACTACTCAGCAGAAACCATGCAGGCAAGAAGGCAATGGGATGCCATATATAAAGCCTTGAAGATACAAAACTGCCAGCCAAGAATTATATATCCAGCAAAACTGTCTCTCAAATATGATGGCGAAATTACAGCATTTTGAGATAACAGAAGTTTAGGGAATTTGCAAAAACCAAACCAAAATTACAAGAAATACTAAAAGGAGTCCTCCAGTTAGAAAATCAATAACATCAGATAACAACCCAAGACTAGAACACAGGACAGAACAACCAGATATAAACCCTGACAGGGAAGTCACAAAAATATATCAAAGCTAAAACACTAAAAATTGGGAAACACAGAGGTCAATATGTAAAAGATGACAGCATTTAAAAAAAAAAGAGGGACTAAAAAATGTAGTCATGAATTTTTCATATGGAGAGGAAGTCAAGGCGATATAAAGAAATAAAAAATTGGTTAGACTTAGAAAAATAGGGGTAAATATTAAGGCAACCACAAAGGAAACTAACAATCCTACACATCAAAACAAATGAGAAAAACATAAAGATTCATCAAATATAAAATCAACAACAATGACAAAGATGAAAAGAAAATACAAACAGAAAAACAACTCAGCACAGAAAATTAAGTGGAACAAAGAAACCGTCAACAACACACAAAAAAAGACATCAAAATGACAGCACTAAATTCATACCTATCAATAATTATGCTGAATGTAATGGACTAAATGCACCAATAAAGAGACAGAGAATGGCAGAATGAATAAAATAAATAAATAACCATCTATATGCTGCCTACAAGAGACTCACCTTAGACTTAAAGACACGAACTAAAACTCAAAGGATGGAAAAAAATAGATCAAGCAATCAAAAAAGAGCAGGAGAGGCGATATTAATCTCTGACGAAACAGATTTTAAAGTAAAATCCACCACAATGGATAAGGAAGGACACTACGTAATGATTAAAGGGTCAACACACCAGGAGGACATAACCATAATAAATATTTAGGCACCCAATGACAGAACTCCAAAATACACAAAACAAACTCTAACAGCACTGAAAAGAGAGACAGCTCCACAATAATAGTAGGAGACTTTAACACACCACTTTTGATGAAGGTCAGAACATCCAGAAAGAAGCTCAATAAAGACACGGAAAATCTAAATGCCACGATCAACCAACTTGATCTCATAGACATATACAGAACACTCCAACCAAGAGCAGCCAAGTATACTTTTTTTCCCAACGCACATGGAAAATTCTCCAGAAAAAACACATATTAGGCCATAAAGCAAGCCTTAACAGAATCCAAAGCATCAAAATATTACAAAGCATCTTTTCCAACCATAAAGCCATAAAAGTAGAAATCAATAACAGAAAAAGGAAAAAATCAAACACATGGAAACTGAACAACACCTTGGTGAAAAACTACTTGGTTATAGAAGAAATTAAGGATGGAATAAAGAAATTCACAGAATCAAATGAGAATGAAAATAAATCCTACCAGACCCTTTGGGACACAGCAAAAGCAGTGCTCAGAGGTCAATTTATAGCAATAAATGCATATATCCAAAAAGAAGAAAGGGCCAGAATCAAAACATTAACCCTACAACTTGAACAAATAGAAAGAGAGCAGTAAAAGAAGTCCTCGGGCACCAGAAGAAAGCAAATAATAAAAATTAGAGCAGAATTAAATGAAATAGAAAATAGAAAAACTATCAAAAGAGTTAACAAGACCAAAAGCTGGTTCTTTGAAAAGATCAACAAAATCGATATACCAATGTTCAAACTGACAAAAGAGAAACAAGAGAGGAAGCAAATAACCCGAATGAGAAATGAGATGGGCGATATCACAACAGACCCAACTGAAATTAAAAGAATCAAAACAGAATACTATGAAAAATTGTATTCTAACAAATTTGAAAACCTAGAGGAAGTGGACAAATTTCTAGAAACATACTATCTACCGAAACTAACACAAACAGAGGTAGAACAACTAAACAAACCTATAACAAAAGAAGAGATTGAAAAGGTAATTAAAAAGCTCCCAAGAAAAAAAAGCCCTGGTGATACAATGGCTGCAACAATGGGTTCA